CCGATTTGACCATAAGTATCCCTAGCAGCTAACCAAATTTGCGCCGTAGAATCAAGAAGCAAATATCCTTTTGCAATATGTGGCTGCATCGAGTTAAGCAAAAAAGACATTACCAAAGAGTCATTCGAGATCCACTTGTCTTGAGTAGCACCCGATGTTTCCGGCTTTACAAAAGTGCCGTTGATATGACCTGTAAGCCCACGGCCTGCAATGGTCAAGAATACAGATCGAGACCATATCAAATAATTTGTGCCGTCGAGCTTCACAGAGATTGTAGCGAAAGTAATATAATCTGTATGGCCATCTCCTGTAGGTGGAGGGTTCTCAACTGAACCGTCAGACATTGTGTCACTGGTAGTAGGCTAAAAATATCCTTAAAAAAATCAGCAAGATCAGATCAAGGGAAGAAAAAAATCGATTTTTTCAAGATTTTGAAACCTTGAAAAAAATCGATAATTCTAATTTATCCCAAAGAATCTGAAAAAATATGGTGGTCCACAAACTACAGTGCTTTGGTCTTCATACACGAGAGAATTGTAGGCCAGCGGCAAGGCAGAAACAATTCCAGACAAGACGATCCAAAAAATTGCAGAAGAAGTTGAACCACCTATCGCGGACTGCAAAGAAGTTTTAGTTATGTCATAGAGGTGAAGTTTAGGGCAGACACTAGATTCAAAGAATCACCTCATTAGTGCTGCCATACACTGTGAAAGAGAGCAAAGGAGAAGAGGAGAAGGAACTGCGGTGGGAGAGAGTGAAGGCGTGAAGAGAGGAAACAGAAAGGTTGCGTAGAGGAGAGATTAGGGTTAGGGTTTTAGTTCAGATCTGGCTCTGATACCATGTTGAGAGGAAAAACTGAACTGAATGCTTGGTTAGGTCTATGTGACCCCAAGCTATCTATTTATAATAAAGCCAAAAAGGCCAAAATTACAATATTACCCTTATTGCTGCAATATATAAAATAATAAAGGAAATAGACAAATATGCCCCTATTAGCCAAGTACTCTCAACAGGAGACCACATGAATATAAAGAGCATTTAGGACCCGTTGTCAATCGATGTGAGATAATACTTCAACACCCCCACTCACGTGCAAGCCGGATTACGAGCAACACGTGAAATTTTGACATCACACATTCACATGGAATTTTTACCACGCACATTCGCGAAAGGGATAGTATTGGCTCTGATACCATGTTAGAAAGTCCAACCCAAAAGCTTAAGCTATTAGGTGGATGGAGACCACATGAATATAAAGAGCATTTAGGACCCGTTGTCAATCGATGTGGGATAATACTTCAACGTTTTGAGATGTATAGAATTTTATGAGAGTAGTGTGGTCAGGCTGACAGTTGACATCAAACAATTGGTTTTATCCTCTCCTGGGGGCATGTCCGAGCTAGGAATCCTTTATATCTGGTAGGATCTGCTTTCACATTGATTGGTAACTTCATTGCGATCCATTAGAGTATTCTGTTTTATGGGGTGACTAATAAGAGTGTTTTGTCTTATAAGGCGACCGATTAAAATATTTGCTATTGCTCATGTTTCCAAAGAAAATAATGTTTTATGGTTTAAGTATAAGGTCAGTCTTCACGAGTATTTGATATGCATAGTTTTTTATTTTCGTTGTTAAAATAACCATCATCCTATCCAATTTTTCTCATGCCATTTATAACTGCTTTTGCTTGAGCTTGCCAATTAATAATTGTAGCTATGCTTGTCTGGGACTTAGATGTTTAATTTAGTTACATGCCTCCATATCTGGCCCTTGGGTTTAAACATCAATCGAGCTATATTGCTTTGGTGGCATTGTAACAGCCCGAATTTCGATGTAATTCCGGGATCAATAAAATTGACATTATTTCGCATTTCATTTTAGTAAGTCTCGCCCAGAGCTGATCACTCTCGGGATACTAACCAATAGGGTATGGCTAATTAGGAAACGGTACGTGGACCAAGGACCAGATCGCGAAGCGGACACCGATCACGAGAAATGATGAGAGAATATTATGAACTAATGTGGATCGATCTTAGGAAAGGTGACGGATTTGGTTTGGCCAAGGCCAACGATGTACAATCGGATCGCAGGTGATTCTGCATGACCGAGAGTGCAAGTGGCCAACCAGTCCTGAACTTAAACCGGACGATCGTGACTTCTGGGATTAGTGATAATTTCTCATTCTCTCAATGATCGGACCGTTATGACTCGAATAACCCTAAGTCGATACGCGTAACCTCTAAACAGCCGCCCGTTAGTGAGAGACCCTGAAATTGGAAATTGAGCGAGTTTTGATCACGAAATTGGGCCCGGATTTCGATGTTGATTTTCAATGGCTTAAGAGACTATTTTTGGGAATCTGACGTCATATTATGCTGGCCACGCATATTTTGAGTTAGTATGGTTGAAAATTGGAATTTCGGTCCGGGGGTGAAAAATTACGATTTTGCCCCTCGGGACACCGACTTGGATTTTGAGGCCGTATGAGGTTATTTTTCGAAGCCGATGTCATTTTGGGGTGGCCACGCTCATATAGAGTGGTTTCGGTCAAAAATTGGAATTTTGACTCGGAAGTGTAAACTAATATTATTTTATTCCCAGAACTTGGCAGTCGATTTTCAAGGGCTTAAGAAGCTATTTTCGCGATTCCGACGCCATATTATGTTGGCCACACTCATTTAGGATTGATATAGCCAAAAATTGGAATTTCACCCCAGGACCGGAAAAATGACCGTTTTGCCCCTGGGCTATTTTTGGGTTCCGAAATTTTGGGAAAATTTTAGGATAATTATGGAGGGTTTATCAGCTCAATTATTTGCCCAATTACCTTTTTGCCCTCAATTATTTGGATAGGGTTAAATTAAGGCAGTTAGATTAGGGGCGTTTTGGTCATTTTCGCGGATTGGCGACACTTGGCGCCCCTAGCCCCTAATATTTGACCAGCTTGGACTTCTCTCTCTCTCTCCTCACCCTTCCATTCGGCCAGCCCCCACAGATCAGCCCTCCACCGCCTTCTCCCTCTCTTTCTCTCTCTCTCGGCAAGCCTTGCCGGAGCTCACCGCCGGCCACCGGAGCGCCACCGCCGGCCACCGTGCCTCGCCGTCAACCACCTCAGTCCCTAGCCTCAGCCTCACCCGACCCCTTTCTCTCTCTCCCTCTCTCTCTTTCTTTCCCTTTTTCTTCCCGGGATAGCGCCGCCGCCGCGCCGAAGCCCGATCGGCCGAGCTGCTGCCACTGTGACGTTTCCGACGTCCGTACGTCACTGTTCATCGCCGTCCCCATACAGTGTCCGTACGCCGTCCGTATGGTCCGTACACCGCCGTCCGTACGTCGCCGCCGGGAACGCCGCCGCCGGTTCCTCTGTTCACCAGTGATCGGCCGCCGTTCCTCGTCGTCGTGAGTTGGATTAAGTGAGTAAAATTCCTAAACCCAGATTAGGACTGATAGTGCATTTTCTGGATTGGTTTGGGTATTATTAGTGAATACTGGAATGAATTAGTGAACCGAGTGGTGGAAATTTATACTGGATTAATATCAGTGGATCAATGGGAGATTAATTAGTGGGCTATCGGACTAGCCGGGACTAATTGAGGATTAGGTGACTAGACTGCTGGGTATGCCCGGGCTGACTGACTTGTTGATTGTTGTGCCCATTTATTGGGGAATTGAATAATGCCATGTCGTGTGCTCGTGTGGCCGATTCGTGCGGAGTGTGATCGGCCATTTGATGGCTTGAGTGGGTTATGGAATTACACATTGTGAAATTGGGCCGCAAGGTATTAATAGGCCAAGTAAGCACGTGGCTTGTGACTTAGGCACTGTGGAATGACTTTGATTGAACTGTGTGCCTGTGCCTATGTTATGTGGATGCTCATGTTGCATTTCATGGCACGCGTTATGAATGCCGAGAATGAGGCTTGTGATGAAATTGTGCAAGAATGCGTGCCTACCATGAGCATGTGATCATCTAGAATACCCTGAAGCGTGTTACGCAGGGTTTAGATAATAATTGGTTGTGTGATCACCTAAGGACCTTCGGGTCGATACCGTTCTCATGCACTTTGAAGCAGGACGATGCCCGGTACGTCCGGAAGACGACCATCCTCATGCACTTTGAAGCAGGCTCTGGTTCGTGAGGAGAACAGTGTTGCGCCTCATGCACTTTGAAGCAGGCTAGAGACACTGGGCCAGATCGGTGCTGCGCCTCATGCACTTTGAAGCAGGCTAGACGCACCGAGCCGTGAATATTGTTGACTCGAGTCGTAATAAATATTAATAAATTGAGCAATTGCCAGTGTGCCAGTGTGGGCCAGTGGGCCGAGATATGCATATGACATGTTGACGACATTTGCATGCATAAAAATGCATGGAATAGTGTGCGAGTATGTGAGACTCGGTGTATGGCATGCGATATGAACACTGAAGAGCATGAGTATGTGTTTGGAGTACGTGTGACTAAGTGTGCCACGTATGTGCCGTGATTATTATACATTGAAATGTCTAACCTGCAGGGTCATAGAATTGTTTGATTGTTGTTGCATTACGGTTTGGAATGTTTGTTTGTTTCCGGTCAGGAGAATGCATGCTAGCCTAGCCTAGGTTTAGGGGTTATACTCGCTGAGATTCGTCTCACGGTTGTTATAACCCAACATTTCAGACCCCCAACCGTAGAATGCCGAGGTCACCACCTCTTTTTGGGATACCGCATCACATTCAGCGGTTGTCGAGCGTGCACCCCTGTGGAGACGGAACAGCTTATGTGAGATATTACTCTGTACTGTTTACTAATGTGGGAGAGTCATACTACCATACCCAAGAATACGTGGCTTGGTGCTACAGAGGAACCGACGGAGTAATCGGACCCCCGCTCAGAACCTTCGATGTCCCGGTGGACGTGGATGATATCATGATCCTGCAGATGGTAAGTGGTGAGATTTCAAATCCTCCAACCCCGCCTGATTGGAGCAGCTAGGGCGAGACTGTGGACGGACCTGCTGCCATGATCGAGGAGGTTGAAGAGCCCGAAGTGCTGTATGCTGATCCAGAACCCTTAGACCATCAAGACGAGATCGAACCGGAGCCGATGGAATTAGACCCGGAGCAGGACGGAGAAGTGGCGGAGATAGGATCTGATGAGGAGATAGGAACCGAGGACGAGAGAGTAGCAGCAGCAGATATGGAGTCAGAGGAACAGTCGGATGAATCCTCGGAATCCTCAGATCCTGACTGGAATCCCTAAGAGCACCCTGAGCCATAGCTAGTAGTGGAGGGCATGTGACTTTTTGACCGTAGCCCTCCTTGAGTAGTTGACCTCACCCTAGCCACTTACCCTTTTGACCCAGTAGCTGTTGACTGTTTGTAATGCTCGCTTTTGTTGTTCGATAAGTATTGTAAAAAGGTTTTCTATAGTAATGTAAGTATGTACATATTTTCTACTGTGATCGTGTTTATTGCCTGGCTATCCTTGGCTCGTATTTTATAATTGTCAGGGTTGTTTATTTAATTGCTTCCGCTCGTGCTTTACTCTCTGTTTGGGCGTTGGGTCGGCGACGCTTCCTGGGAGCGTTGCACCGTAATCGACCAAGGTAGGGATGTTAGCGCTTCGTGGGGTACGGGGCGTGACAGACATCCTATCTCTGGTTCTGTTCTTGTTAACCTATGTTTGAGTTTGATACTTAACAACTTTGGGGAAAAGCCTTTTCAGAAAAGGTGCGGTTACCTATTGCACTTTGAAGTTATAATGCTGTTTCAGGTGTCTCCACTATTTAAATTTTTGCCTTGAATCATCAATGCAGTGACAGTGGACAAATTTCAGGGAAGGTATTAGTATACCACAATCCTGGTTTGCATTTCGGAGATATTCATGTTTTGAACGCTACATATGTGGAAGCATTGGAAACAAAAGTTGGATATTCCAAGTATGCCATATTTTTCCCCACTAGTGGACCGCGCTCCTTGGCCGATGAAATAGCTAGTGGGGATTTCGATGGGGATATGTATTGGGTTTCACGGAACCCTCAGGTTGGTGTTTACATGAGATTTGGTCATTCTTGTTAGATGTCTTGTACTACATTTGGTTGATGTCCTTTGCCAGCTTATGATGATACCACCCTGGACCCCCTTCCCCTTCCCCCCAAACAAGAAGTTTTTTTACTTTTTTTTCTGCAGTTTCAAAATCCTTTCATGATTTTCCTCTTCTAAGTGAGGTTTTAGTTGTTGGATGGTATTTTTCACCATCCTTTTTTTCTCATTAGACAATTTTCCCTTGCTTTACAGTTGATGCATACTGGTCTTCAAACTTATACTCAGAATAGTTGTATGTCAACGTAACTGGGTTCCAACTTGGCTAAGCAGTTGTTATGGAACCCTATCTGGCCAATGGAAAAGGAATTTAATGCTTTATTAGTTAAGTTATTTGAAGTTTAGCGAAAAAAGTTATCTGAAATTCTTACACGTTATTTACTATAGTGACAGACCTTTAGGAGAAGATGAGCCCGGACTTAATTCCTGAACGACCGGGAAAACTGTTCATGCTCATGTTTGCTTTTATTAGTTTGGCTTTGCTCATAAGCAATGTAAAATGGCCTTTTCAGCCACTCTTTATGCATGTGCCTGTACCTCTTTCGTCTCTTCTTTGGTGTACAGGCCTAAACTTTGAAAGTAACTTCAAAATGAGTTGAAAAACATGACCGACCAACTGGGGCCTTTTACTGGAAGAGGATTGCCATCCTTAATGTCCTTGGATAATTTTTACATCTAAGATGTGTTGCTGTTGCTTTTACTTGAATCTCTCGGGTAACATTGATTTGGCGGAATGGAAATGCAGTCTTTCACTTATGTTGTTAGCCTGCTGGTCATTTGTCTCTGCATTGTTGTCTAGCACAACAAAAGAAAAAGTAAGTAGATCTAAGCCCATTGAATCATGACTATATCCACTATTGTGATATTTTTTTTTGGTAAGGTCCACTATTGTGATATTAATATCTGATAGAGATTAAATTGTAAGAGTGGATCTTTTTTTGTTTCCTATTTATTTGGACCCCCCAAGAATCTGTTGATATTTCTGATTCCATTTTCTTGTTCCTAACACACCTAAGTTGGCAAGGAGATGTTCATTTACATGCTAACTGTCCAAGCCAAGCATCTTAAGAAGGATTGGAGCACCTGTCAAACAGCCAATATAAGAAAGTTTGTTATTTGATTTCCAATTCACCGTCTCTCTCGTGTTATTTGTAATCAGTGTATTGGAAATGAAAACATTACCTTATTAAGTATAGTTAAGGAGTGCGGCACTCGTTAACAAGACCCTTTTAAGAATATCTTTGTTATTATATCTTGCAGTTGTAGATACCTGGATCAAGCGTCTTTTTTTTTCTTTTCCATCAAGGGTGAATCATGATTCAATGGCTATGCTCCTGATAATGAACTCATTGGTGCATCATGTACCGTACTTGTTATGTCATTTTGTGAGGCCTACCTTGCAGTGGTTGTCTCGGTAATTGTTTGGCAGTGATGATTGAACTATTTACAAAATTTGTTGATTCAGAATTGCCGAATGATGTCTGTTAAATCTTTCAAACAACCACTAATTGAGCGTGCAATTCATGTGTCAGCTGTTGAAGTACTTTACACCGAGCCAGCCATGGGTATCTGCTTCTGCAGCGCAAGAGATGAACTGCAAGAAGCCAAGTGACTTGTCTTTTGAGGAGTTGGAGAATGAGTTGATTGATTTATGGTTGAACACTAGATTTAACCCAAGGTAGGCACTTGAATATGCATTTGCTTTTAGGTCAGTGCTGTAAATCTGAGACTCCATATTCTGGAACTACTTGTGATTGAAGAGAATGATCTAAGAACTTAGGGAAAAAGAAAGTTCTCGCAAATTATTCCCATAAAATACGTCACAGAAATATGAATTTTCCCACCTTTGGCTGCACTTTTAAGATTGAACTGGAAAAGATTTATGGTTTCTTCACGAGATATTCCTTGCTGCCTCTGCAAGAGCATAATTATCATTGTCTGTTGTTCCTATTATACCTGGAAAACAAAAAACTGTCAACCCAGCTGCATAGACTTGCAAATAATTGTTCGTTATTCTAGCCAAATCTACTTCAGAATGATTATCCGCTGTACCATGCTCGTTCTCTTTTTTCAACCATTGCTGCCAAAAGGCACCTCACACGTGGATTACACATGTACACAGAAGCAACACGCTGAGATTAAGAAGGCGGAGATATTCAATGTCGATTCTTCGTTGCATACTTTTTTGGTGGGCTGATATAATAAATTTTTGAGTTTGTTGATTGAAGTGGGTGAGTAACATAGATGAGTATAATAGTGAAAAGGTAACGCACCCCCTTTGTGTTAGACGGCGTCTCGCCTCTAATTGGAGTATATATCTTCCTTTCTTACAACTAGCATTAGGGAAGCATTCATCTACCCTTTCTTTAAACTAGTATTTTCCGTTCCAAAACAAACTTTAGGTTTTTTGCCCAAAATCTACTTTAGTTTGCTTCTTTTCTTTTAAACTTAGAATCACTAGTATTCAGTGAAAAGCTTTTTCATGAAATTACTTTTCCTTTGAAAACTTGGACTTCAGTTCTCTGGTTTTAAAGACTTTTTCATTCTTTGACGGAGGTTAGTCATTTCGGCTTTTAAAACTTCCAGTTATTTTATCAAATTGGTTAAGAAGCTCGACGTTTGCTGTTCCATCACCCTGCTGAATTGCCGTCAATGAAGTGTTATTTATATGTGATGCAATCACGATATTTTTTCCAAGTACTTTTCATCTGCTTTATGTATTATTTATCTTTGCCTGGAGCTAATTAAAAACTAGGCATGTGCCAGTAAGTAGAGGCATAATTTGGTTATTATATTACGTAGGTGAGGAAATAATTATAGCCTTTTTAGTGTCATCGAGCTGGCTCCAGGTTTTTTCGTCTTAAAATGTCTTGAGATGAAAAATCTGATTCATTATTTGATGATTATTTTGGTGAAAACACAACGTGATCATGAAGATTAAGGTGATCTATTTATGGTGCTTGATCGTGCTGCATATAAGGCACCGCTTGGAAAAATTGACATTTTCTATGGTGTTTTCAGTTACACGGTGGGTGTTGCAGCTGATAGTTGGCAGGCATTGATGGATCGTCTTCTAACGCTTGGTAGCGATCAAGTTGATGAAAAATGTCAGGTGGAGAGAAACCTTTGTCAGTTGATTGACATATACTATGATGCCTTAGATGCTCCTAAGAATGGTGGAATAAAGGTTAGTTTCTTATTTTACGTTCCTTTTTATTTAAGTATCGGACAAGATAAGATTTTGAGTCTCTCAATTCTCTTGCATTTGCTTCTGTTCTTTACAAGGCTAATGACCTACTTGGTATTATTATTTAGAGCTTACTTTTCCATTTCATGAGCATGCAATAGATACCGAAGTGCTCTGGGGCACGCTTTGCTAAATTTGCATAATTTCATACACTACAAAAAAACACCGGATTAGCGACGGAATTTGTGACGGAAAACGTGGAAAAATCCGTCGCAAATCGAATTTGCGACGGAAAAAAATTCCGTCGCTAATCGGTCGTCGCAAAATTTTGCTACGGAAAATTCACAAGTTCGTCGCAAATTTGCGACGAAAAAGAATTCGTCGCAAAATTCGTCGGAAAATTCGTCGCAAATTTGCGACGGCACATAGTCCGTCGCAAAATTCGTCGCAAATTTGCGACGCACTTTGTCCGTCGCAAAATTCGTCGCAAAAATCCGTCGCAATTTCGTCGCAAATTTCGTCGCAAAATTTGCGACGAACGTTTGTCCGTCGCAAAATTCGTCGCAAAAAATCCGTCGCAATTCGTCGCAAATTTCGTCGCAAAATTTGCGACGCACGTTTGTCCGTCGCAAAATTTGCGACGCACGTTTGTCCGTCGCAAAATTCGTCGCAAAAATCCATCGCAATTTCGTCGCAATTTTCGTCATAAAATTTGTCGCGAATTTCGTTAGAAAATTCGTCGCGAATTTCGTCGCAAATTAGTGACAAACTTTAATGATAGCAAAATTCGGCTTAAAATATTCGTCGCTATTTTTATATCATTTCGGCCATAAATTCTTATCCATATCAATCAAAGGAGACAATGATATATAATTGAAACAGAAAAACGAACAAACCATAAATTCTGACAAACCTGCCACAATGACATATAATTGAAACAAATAACAAAAGGAAACTTGTAGAGTCTTACATGATACTATTTGATATCCAATCTTACAATACAGTCAAAACATGAACTAAGAGACGGGACAACCATAGAAGACGCAAAAAAATCATACAGAAGAAGACGCGGCTTTGGTACGATGGCAGGACACCAAAAGTAGTCACTTTTGTCGAGACCTGAGGAAATGTCGATACATAAATCAGTCCAGAATATAAAAAAAGCGTTTATGCATGGATGTGGAACTAGGTGTAAAATAACAAAAGGGTTAACAAAAATACGTTTAGGGACGAACATAAATGTTCTTATATATGAATATGAGTGAAATTATGAAAAATCAAGATTATGAAGCAAGCTTACCCCCGATTTTGAGAATTTTAACTAGAAAGACCGGAGAAAATCTTCATCATCATCATCATCAGCAGCATTCTCGGCATCAATGTGTTGGTCATCATTGTACCCATCACCTACTGGATTGGCTGGAGGTACAGGAGGATCGCCATAGCGATTGATGTTAAGGTGTTGCATAACGACTCTCATTTGTTCTTCCAAGTTTTGTATTTGTTCATCCTTCTTAACAAGTAAATTATTGAGACGATGCACTTCTTGGGTCAAATTCTCGTCTGGTCGTGACTTCCTTCGACCAGTCCCAGTGGATGATGAACTTCCAGGACCATTCGGCATGAACATCCTTGATAATGATCCCATCCCAAATATTTTCCCTTTTTTCGCCCCACCCGTTGCCTCCATCCATAATGCCATATTATCAACTGGTGGCCGGGACTCAGGACAATCATCACTACCACTAGCACTGCTCATTAAAAGTTCATCATATTTTTCCTACATTAACAATATAGATGAAAATAAAATCACTATATATATATATCTACCAAAAATATTGAAAGCATTCACGGTTTTCATTATAGTTTACATATAAGCCAAAGTATAACCTTACATACCTTAACAGCTTTTGCTCGATCGCCAGTCCATGTCTTATCTTTCTTTTGAAATGTGCGTTCAAATGTAGCTGCAAATGTCGGTTCCGTCCCCAATTCATGTGCCTACAAAATGTAAACATGAGTAATTGAATTAAATTAACTGATAACTCATTTAACAGACTTACCATTCGTTTGCGATGCTCCGCAATGTTGATAGAGCCCCCAGCATATGTGGCTGACCCATCACTAGAACTAGAAGATCGATTCTTCTTATTCCGCTCACAGAGTTGCTGACTCTGTTCAGATGCCCAAAATGTGTTAATTGCCTCCCAATTGTCAGCTGTAAAGAAAGACGGCTTCGCTTGCTTGCTCTTCGCTTGTTTGCTCTTCGCTCTATTCATGACATTTCGCATAAAATCACTTATTTTCTTATCGAAAATTCTTCTCACTTCATTGTCTTCCGATTCCTCCCACTTGAACTTCCGCTGCAATGAATAAAAACACAAATTAAAAATTATTATGATGATTACATATCCATAACCATGCACCAGACAAATATAGACAGATTTTGTAAAGTTCATGTCAGGGAAAATATCTAGTCCTTTAGGTATCGAAAACTACAGAGTTGTTCTGGTCCCTTTACATCATTCTTGACCATCAATATACTACGCCACACTTAATTGGTGAGAAAATAAAATATGTAAAACTTACCTTGAACTCATTCCACCACATTTCTTTCACTTCTTGTGGAACATTTCTGTAAGTAATATACTCTCCCATCCAAAAGTTTCGTACTATTTTGTTCAATTCCCTCACAACAGACGGAGCATCCGTGAATCTGCATTCGTATGAATATTGTGCAACATGGACAATTCAATTGACATCAATATCTAAAGCCCTAAATATTACATATACTAAAATAAAAATGAAGTACTTACGAATCTCCAAATGGGCATATGAAGAATCGGTTATCTTCTTGACCTATGTTTCCGTCAATATTCGATTGTTCCGCCGAATAATGGGGTAAAACGGAAGGAGAGGGAGCTAAATGAGATTGAACTGGAGAACGTTCAGTTCGCATGTGGCCAAGTCCCGTAACATGTTGTTGAGTGTTGGAGGAAGGGCCAACATGTCCATATTGTGACGGACCATACTGTGGTTGAGGGTTAGATGCCGGGACAGGGGAAGAGGAAAGGGCCGGGGACGAGGACGAGGAAGAGCCTTGTCTTCTAGGCATGTGACCTCCACGTTTAAACTGACAAGTAGGAAGGTTATGCGAATATGTACAAAACTATTGACACGTATTACGAACACATAATGATGTACATGACGAAGCTTACCATTTTGATGGAAAGACTGAGAAAATGTTTCCTTGAAATGAGCCAATGTCGAGTGTTTATGATGTGCAATTTCCTACAAACAAATATACTATGAATCCCATTCATTTTGATATGAAACATCAATGTATGAGCACGATTTGGGTGGCTACAGGTATTAAACATCACTATATGAATCGCATTCATTTTGATTAATTTTTTTTTACAACGTACAAAAATTTAAATTTCACTGAAAGTGGGTGGCCACAGGTATTCTGAGTCATTCTGTACAGTTTTGTAAGAAAAAAATTATTATTATTGCAAAAAAAATTCTGGGCCCTAAAAAAAAATTTCACTAACAGTTAGTGGCCACCGATATTCTAAGACATTTTGTAAAGTTTTGAAATTTTAAAATTATAAGCATTTTTAAATTATTATTTTTTAATATAAATTTTTTTCGTGAAATAAAAAAATTTGTCCATACTAAAATTGAGTGGCCACAGGTAGTCTAAGCTATTAGGTAAAGTTTCCAAAATTTTTGTCCTTATTTATTTTAATAGTTCTTAGGGCACGTTAAAAAAATTAAATATAACTAAAAGTGGGTGGCCACAGGTATTATAAGTCATTCCGTGAAGTTTTGAAAATTTTTAAATTCTAATTTTTTTTGGCCATCTAAAGAAATTTACATTTCGCTGCAAGTTGATGGCCAAATGTTTTCGAGGCAATTCTGTGCAGTATTGAAATTTTATATTTTTTTAATTTTTTTTCACCCAAAAAAAATAAAAATTTCCCTCATAATGGGTGACCACATTTATGTTAAACCATTTTATAATGTTATAAAATTTTTTAATTTTTTAAGATATTTTTCCCCGGAACGTTAAAAAATCTAAATTTCATTGAAAATGGGTTATCACTATTAATTTTTGCCATTTTGTGATATTCTGAAATTTTTGTTTTTTAAAAAGTTTAAAAAACTTTTACGGTCAAATTTCATATTTGTTGCCAACATATACCATTGTTTTCATTTTCCGTAATTTTCCTTGATTTTTTATAGAATTATTCAATTTTCAAGCATTTTCTGTGAAAACGTTTAATCAATCAACTTATCGTCATTTAACGCTTAATCATCCACATAATAGACAAATTAACCAGTCGACCATTGATCAAAGCCACATGCAATCCTGAAATCGACCAGTAATTTAGCCAACGAAAAGTGACCCTAAATAATCCTTAAACAAGTCCGACTAATTACCTAATTATACTAACTAGGGTTTAGAGAGTTGCTTACTTGGTTCAAGGACAATAAAAATCGGCCGATAGAACAGTGGCGGTCCCGGCGCAAGCGTGAGCTCAAATGGTGACTAGTTGGCCAGGTGCTCGGCCACGACCGGGAGAACGACAGCAATGGCTCGGCGGCGACGGCGTCGTGGGCGGCAACGTGTCGGCGGCGGCAACGGCGTGGGGGGCGGCAACGGCGTAGGCACGGCGGCGGGCCGACGCGGCCACGGCCTCGGCCGGCGGCGGGAGGCGGGTGGCGAGCTGGTCGGCGGCGGCACGGCGGCGCCGGCGGCCTGGCGGTGCGAAGCAGTGGCGACGGCGTCGCGGCGGCCGACCGGGCGGCCGGCCGGCTCTGGCGGGAGGGCGGGCGACGGCGGCGAGGCTGGGCGGCGAGGCTCGCGGCACGGCGGCCGGCAAACTTGGGACGCGACCGGGGGGGGGGCGGGCGACGAGGCGGAGCTAAGGGGCGACCGGCGGGGGCGGGCGACGGGCCGGGGCGGGTGGCGGCGAGGCGGGGCGGGCGACGAG